GAGATGGATTGACACAGTGACTGCAACAACGACCTCAAGCATAGCAAAGACTATGAGGATGGAGCAGGACCGGGTAGTATTTTGTCCTGTTGTACATGAGGTTGCTATGAGTGGGAACCGGCTCAATGACACCTAACAAAAACAACAGTAGCGCCTATGGAGTCGTTCCACTCTGAAACATGTAAAGTCACCATGAGTCAGAATGCACCTCATGGCAGCAGGTTAGTGCTCACAGAGCACATAGTGTGTGTCAGGTACCATTCTGAGCACTTAACACAGATTAATTTATCAATGGTCATCTTACATAGGTACTATTATTAGACCCACTTTACAGATAAGAAGCTGAAGCATATGTTGTTGTTGTCATGTGTCATCGAGTCAGACCGACTCATAGCGACCCCTCCTTGGGTTTCCAAGACAGTATCACCACGGAAGTAGATTGCCCAACCTTTCTTCCAAGAAGCGGCTGGTGTTTTGAACCGACAGCCTTGCTCTTTGCAGGCGACTGCCTTAGGCCTGAGGCCATCCCCTAGGGCCCTGAAGTATATAGAGATTAAATAAATTGCCTTGAGCTAGTAAATGACAGAGGTAGGACTGAAACCCAATCCTCAGAATGAGCCTATAGTCTGGCCTCAGGGTCCATGTGTACAGCGCCTCTTTCTATGGCCTAAATTGCACACACTGGGGTTGAGACAGTCAGTGAGCCACACTACAGAGTCAGAGGCAGGAGGAGAGAAGTATGTTGTTAGGGGAGGCTTTCTGGTGGTGCCAAATTATCTTTAAGAAAACCCGAACCCTTGTGAAGTAGATATCATAAACACGCAAAATCTACCTGACTTCTCAGGCTAGGAGAGCATGACCCTTCTAAGAATACGCCAGGTAGTATGTGAGCCATAGTGTAGACATGGCACATCGTCTGCTCTGTGAGAGCTTGCTGGTGTTGCTAGCGGCCACCAAGTCAGTTCTGACTCATGGTGACCCCATGTGTACAGAGCAGAACTGCTCCATAGGGTTTTCAAGGTTGTGACCTTTTGAAAGCAGATTGTTAGGTCTGTTATCCAAGGTGCCTCTGGATGAGTGTGAACTACTAACCTTTTGGCTAGTATTTGAGTGCTTGGCCATTTGTGCTATCCCCTATTAGGAGGGGAAAAAACAAACAAACTAACTAACTGCCTTCAAGACAGATCTGACTCATAGTGACCCCTCCTTGGTTTCCGAGGAGGTATCACTATGGAAGTAGATTGCCCCATCTTCCTTCCGAGGAGTGGCTGATGGGTTTGAACCACCAGCCCTCTGGTTAGCAATCAAATGCCTCAGGCACTACACCACCAGAGCTCCTAGCAGGAGGAGATAGATATTGCCCAATCTTTCTTCTAAGGATGGCTTGTGGGTTTAAAATACCTGCCTCTGGTCAGCCATCAAATACCTTGGACATTACACCACCAGAGCTCCCAATAAGCAAATAAATACATAAAATATCTATCAGATGGTGTCATGGATTAAATTGTGGCCCCCTCCCAAAATATGTGTCAACTTGGCTGGGCCATGATTGTTAGTGATCTGGCAGTTATGCACTAATGTGATCACCCCATGATGTGATCTGATGTGATAAACTAATCAGTTGTGAGAGGATAAGAGTGGGATACAACCACCTTACACAGGTCATAGGGAGTTTCTCTGGGGTGTGGCTTGCATCATCTTTTATCTTATAAGAGATAAAAGGAGAGAGATTGAGGGACCTCCTAACACCAAGAAAGAAGAGTTGGAGTGAAGTGCAACCTTTAGACTTGGGCTCTCTATGCTGAGAACCTCCTAGGTCCAGGGGATGATTGATGCCAAATACATGTAGATTTCCAAGGAATGCCAGATCCACAGATGTTCAAAGGAGACGAGGACCTTCCTCCAGGGCCAATATAGAGAAAGCCTTCAGGTAGAACCAGTGCTCTGAATACAGATTTCAGCCTCCAAAAATGTGAGAGAATACATTTCTGTTTGTTAAAGCCATGCACTTACGATATTTCTGTTATAGTAGGAATAGATATCTACGACAGATGATGATAAGTGTTATGTAGAGAAGTAGAATGGAGGTGGAGTAAGATAGAGCAGCCTGCAACACTGAATTTGGTGGTATTTGGGGAGATTTCTCTGAAAAGGGACATTCGAGCAAAGACCTGAAGAAGGTCAGGAAGTGAGAGAGTTGCACGAATTCTGGGGGAAGAAAGTTCCAGACAGGGAGAAGAGTAAGTTCAAAGGCCCTGAGGTAGAGTATCTTTGGTGTATTCAAGAAACAGCAAGGAGGTCAAAGTGGCTGAAGTGGAGTGAAGAAGAGGAGAGCAGTAGGAGATAGAGTAGAGGGTGTGTGTGTGAGAGAGAGCACATCTTCAAGATGTGTGTGTGTGCTATGAAAACAAACATGAGTTTGGAATGCAAAATATGCATGCATTGTTAAAGTTGGAAGAGGAGGCTTGAATGCCATGTGCTTGTGGGACCTCCCCTGTAGAAATACCTTTGTTTCTATCTTCCCAGACCAGCTCTGTCCATCCAAGTGATTCACATGGAGGTGGAGATATTTGGGAAACTCCTCTTGCAAGTGATTATGACCAGGTTTCTAAGCACAGGCTCTGGGGCTCAGTCTCGGCCTGTGGGGGTTTCTGGGGGCAGAGAGAGTCCCTGAGATCATTACTGCCTCATGGCTCTGTGGAAAGGATTTCTCCCAGGTAATATCTGAACTTGGTCAATGAGGCCTGAAGAGACCTGGTCTCCTCTTCCTTCGTTAAGTCATCTCCACACCTGGTCCTAGGATCCTGAGTGGCGCCTAAAACACTCATCACAGGGACTATTTGCTGACTCAATCTGAATTTGATGAACCTCTCAGGCACACTTCAGAAAACAGGAACCACCCCCCTCCCCCAAGTTTTCCTTGCCTCTGAGCTTTCTTCAAGGTTCCATTTGGTTATCTTTTGGCTTGAATCTGCTTCAAACTGGTTCACTATTTTGGTTCTTTTTCATTTAGGGTAGAGGGGGAAGCCTGGAAGGGACTTTGGTTCAGTTCATGATTTGGTGAAAAATTAACACTGAGTCCAGTTCAGAGTCCAGCCAGTCAGTTGTTTGTTTAGGTTTCATATCCCCATCTAAGGGGCAGCCTGGTGGACTCTATTTCTTTTCAACAAATTGTTCACTGACAGAGTTGAATATGTTGCCATTCTGGCCTGCAGGGCTGAGTAGGGACAGTACCCAGCCCAATGCTGTGAAAACAGCCATCACACAGCTGATGCCAGGACTTGCAAGTACCATGTAATTAGCCCCACCCTTGTAGATAGTGAAACTGAAGTTTAGAAGTTTTAAGGACCTTTGAGTTTTAATATTTAAACAGTAGGATTCCAGAGCATGGTCTCCTGATCTCTGGGATGCACTGTCTCTTTAACAGTTACTACAAGAAAATTCAATTGGAGCAACTTGTTGGGACAGGAAAAGAGTTTCACTGTATTTTCCATTTTTTCAAATATTCTGAGATGTACTGTGTGCTAAAGATATGGAAACAAATCTCCAAAATGTGGCCATTCCAGAATTCACCATTCAACCTAATCTGGGGAGTGGGGAGCAGTAGCTGCAAGTCAAATACTACAAAAAGTCCGAAGAGAGGACAAGGAACTGTTTCCAAAGGACAGGACATTTGCCTGGGACACCCAACCGCCCTAAACTTGCTCCGAGTGCCTACCATGTGCCTGATGGAGCTTATCACAGCCCCTATCCTCAGGGGTTTCAAACTCAATGCAGTTTCACTGGTTTGAGGAGCATCTGCTTCAGAATTGCCCTGGAGCTTGTTAAAATGTGGAATTCCTTCTTTTTTTCTAGACAATCTGATAAAGCAGCTCTGGGTGTGTAGTATCCAGGTGCTGCTGGTGCAAACCCACGTGTGTCAAGGGGAATAGAGAGAGAGAAAAGAGATGTCTGCGGAGAAGCAGCAGGGACAATGGCTTGGGAGTCCTTGTTGCTATGCGCCAGGGAGTCGGACCGACTCATAGGACTCCTTCCTTGGGTTTCCAAGGGTATCACTACGCAAGTAGATTGCCCAACCTTCCTTCCCAGGAGTAGCTGGTGGATTTGAACCGCCAGCCTTCTGGGTAGCAGTCAAGTGCCTTAGGCACTATGCTGTCAAAGCTCCCTGGGAGTCCTTCGTAGCCTTCAAGCACTTGGGTTGCAGTTCAGGACGAGGTTCTGGAAAGGGATTGGTTAATGACCAGGGCCTAGCTCTGAACCTGAACACACTAGGGCTTTGGTAAGTATTTGTTTGTCGCTGGTTCCCAAAATAGAAATGTTTAGTCAAAGGGAAACATCAGAAGGAAGAAAAAAGTCTCTCTGAGGGAATGAAAGTAACTTTCCGAAAAGTCCAGTAAAAGGCAGTCCAGTCTAACAGAGTTGGCGAGGATGCTGTTGCGGGAAGACGAGACAAGTCCTGGGGTCTCAAGGGGGAGAGAGGGCGAGAGGGGCCTTCTCGACTCCACAGCACCATCGAAGGCGTGAAGTCACCTGGCATCGAACCAGCCGCAGCTGCAGAGGACGCGCCCGCGCTGCGGTGGGAGGCGGTGTCAAGCTTGGGTCTCCTGGGGACTATCCCTCCTGCCCTCTCGGAAGGCGTGGCATGGCGCCCCTCAAGGTTCACTTCAAGCTGAACTTCGTACCTCCCCCACCAAGTCCACGCCCCTCCCTAGAAGCGTTGGAGCTTCCGAGTGGTCCCTCGGTCTTCTCTCTCCCGAGACCACGCCCCCGGGCTCTGGCCGTTCTATTTCCTCTGAAGAGTCCGAAAATGCCGGGCATTAGCCCCGCCCCCGTCCCAACGCTCCGCCCCGCCGCGCCCCGCCTCGCAGTTTGAAGCTGCTGGGTCTGCGGCAGCCTTAGAGTCGCGCGCGGGACGTGGGGCGGTGCTGCGGGGCAGTGGTCGCGGAGAGCTTGACGCCTGGACTCTCAGGAGAGGCGCAGAGCGGCGGGAGCCGGCAGCCAGAGCATCCTCGGAGTAGCAGCTGCCGTTCGCTGAGCCCAGCAGAGCTGGCCATGGCATTGTCGATGCCGCTTAACGGGCTGAAGGAGGAGGACAAAGAGCCTATCATCGAGCTCTTTGTCAAGGTGAGCGCTCGCCCCATTGCGCCGCCTGGCTGAGCTCCCGGCGCCCACCCGGCCGCGGGGGGCGGTGTCCCGGGCGCGAGCGGCCTTCATCCTCGGCGCGCCCCTCAGCTCCGACGTCCCTGAAGCGCCCCCGCGCGGCGTCCCGTACCCGGGTGAGGGACGCGCTGGCCCCTGCGCCCCCGGCCCATTGTCTCGGGTCCACCAACGCCTTCCCGCCTCCGAGGGTTTGTCGAGGGAGCGGGGTGGGGACTGGGACACTGAAAACCAGCAGAAACGGGGCGCCGGGGCTCCGCGGACGCCAGCTGGTGTGTCACGAAGAGCTGCCGGGCGAAAGGCGCCTCTCCCCTCCCCACGACCCTAGAGGCCCACACGCCCCAGGATGAGGGCGAAGAGGGTCCTCCACCCCTCCAGGGCTCTTTGGTCCCCACAAGTCCTGTCCCAGCCGGGGAACTGGAGCCTCGAGTCAGTCGTGAGATGATAAACTGAACTTCTCAAAATGCTTTTTGAAAGAACATTTCGCTCCCTACTGGTCTGAAACCCTAACTTTGCTATTCGATGCAATCTTAAAATTTAAAAAAGGGCAGACACTCCTGGGCTACCGGAAAAGACCGAGATTCCCAACTTGCTTTTTCCTTTATAGAAATTTTACCACCATCTGGTTTTCTTGTAAGAACCGTGGTGGCGCAGTGGTTAAGCTCTCGGCAGCCAACCGAAAGGAGGTCGGCGGTTTGAATCCACCAGCCGCTAAGCGGGAGAAAGGTGTGGCAGCCTTGGAAACCCTATGGGGTCCTACTGTATCTTATGGGATTGCTATGAGACGAATTGACTCCACGGCCACGAGTTTGGGTTTTTTTTTTTTTCCTTTCTTAAACGCGGAGTGTTTTGTATGATGCAATATTTTGGCTGCTCACTTCGGTGTTACTGCCTCGGGAAAGATTGTGTGTGCCCTTTTGTTTTGAAAGAAAAACTGATGAGGGAAATAATTCATAAGTTGCTTGGGCTCTAAAAGGTTGATTTTCCTCTCTTGTCTCTTCACTTTTTACATCCTGCAACCAGTCTATTTCCTTACAAATACTCTCCTTTGCCTTCTTTTTTCTTTAATATTTTTTCACTTTAGCAGGGGAGAGAGAATAGAAATTATAAACATCTGGATCCAGCTGCCTCCCTGAAAAAGTCTTGAACATCCTTGAGATTCACTGTCACTTCTTTAAGCCAAGCTCATTGAGAGCTGAACAGCATATTGGAAAGTTAGCAGGAATCTAGCACTATTTTTTCTTTGAGTTTTTATTTTAAAGAAAGGGAGACATTGAAGCGTGTGTTTGATAGATGGAGAGAAGAAATGATCTGCAAGTGATCAAAACAGTGCTTGTTTTAGGACTTAGTTTTTTAATTATCAGTTTTAGAAGCATTTTGGGCCAAGGAACTGAAACAGCAGATGGGTATAGAACCCTTAGAGTATTTTCAAAGGGCCTCAGTTCAGGTGGCAGATACAGTACTTTAATGTTTAATGGTTCAGAGACTGTAGGAAGGAACCGCAAATAAAGAGAAAGAAGAAGGAAAAAGAAGAGGGGAGTGAGAGGCAGCATGAGAGAAGAATGGGGTAGACAACAATTTTCAAATTTTTTCTACTGAATTAGGAATAGAAAGGAATTGCCATGAACTGAAAAAGTGTATCTACCAAAAATCTAAAATACACGATACTTAACAGTGAAACTTTAGAAGTAGCATTAAATTTAGAATCAGATAAGGATTTGTTTGTTACGGCTTCTATTCAACACTGTACTGGAGATCCTCACTAATAAAGTAAGACAAGAAAAAGAACAAAACTGTTGCATTCTAGTCAATTCTGACTCATAGTGAGGCTTTATGACAGAGTAGAATTGCCCCATAGGGTTTTAAAGGCTGTAAATCTTTATAGAAGAGGACTGCTACATCTTTCCCTAGAGTATTGGCTGGTGAGTTCCAACCAGGACCTTTTGATTAGTTGAATGTTTTAACCACCATGCCACCAGAGCTCCTCTGAGTGCCCCAGTTACTATTGAACCCTTCAGGGAGAAGGAAATGGGGTGTGGTGCACTTTTTCCCAGACTGGTCACTTGCTTATCCCTTCCCCGTTTTCTGTATTTGTGTTAGATCTGTATAATTTACTAAATACAACTTGCTTTTTAAAATTCATAACTTAATATCTCTGAAAGTATGGATTAGATGTGCTAATTTTATTTCTTATATGCTAGCTATTAAAAGTAAAAACGTTTGTGAACCATTTAAAAACATCCTGTGTACTATTGTAAGCTTTTCTCACAAGGCTTGGTGGCAAAGAACCGGGATTCAAGTCCCAGTTCTGTACTTAGCGGCAAGTTGTTTCTCCTGTCTGAGACTTAACTTTCCTCATTTGTGAAATGACTAGTTTTTGCTGCCCTGTGATTCAGCATAGGCAAAACCTTGTATTGATATTGACCAATATAGTTGTTTCCAAGGAGAAGAGACAGGCAAATTGTGGTAAAGGGTATTGATTTCTTGACAAAACCTATGTGTGGGAAATGAAAATACCTTGTAGTATAATTATTTTGAAAGCAGTGAGGGGGCAGAGGCTACAGTTGCCTGGCATAGTGTGTTCAGCAGTGCTAATTATTCTGCCAAGAGGTGTCTGAGTTCGTAGCAGAATATTGTATTTACACATAATACATACATATTTACACTTATGTATACATCAGAATCACCTGGTGGTCTATAAGAATCACCTGGGGACTTGTTACAATACAGATTCTGGTTCCTCATCTCTGGGGTGGGAATGTAGGGGTCACATTGGAATGGACCAATTGGAGGCCCTGACTTTGATACAGCAGTCCCTTTTGGGAACCACCCTTATAATCTGATCTCTATCTGCATTTCTAATCCCAAGGCAAGTTACTTAATCTGTGTCTTATCTACACAATTGGGATATTAATAGGCCAGCCTCATGGGATTACGTATATGTAGTGTGTAATAAGTTTGGAATGACCTCTTCCTTTCTAAATGTTACTGTCACTTTATATGCAAATGTTTATGTATAGATCTCTCTTAAATAGATAATAGGTTCTTTGAGGGTAAGGCCTGTGTGTGCATAGTGCCTGGCACACAAGAGGGCACCAAATGTTTAAACTGACATTCCTTCCTCCTTTTTCAGAGCATTTTGCTGTCAATATATGTGTTGGGCTTTCAAATTGGAAACCACTTACTTAAATCCTTAATACATGAATTTCAAACCTTAGTCCTTTATCCAGTTTTTCCCTAGCCCCTGGCCTCTAGAACCCCTTGTGATTTTATCTTGTCTACCTTTTTTCTCTCCATTGTTTAGTACTTCTAATCAGTTCATACATATACCATATTTTCCACCCACTTTTCTTCTTGGTTATACTCAGAATTTGGGGAACCAAGATTTTTGTATTAGGTAAAAGTAAATATTAAATCACGAAAGCAGAGACTGGATTTTTGGATTGTTTTCTTTTGTTTGTGTAAGCCTAGCCCCTGTTGACTGTGTTGCCTCCCCCAAGCCCTACCAGTTTGGTATCAGGTGATGGTATTTCTGATGTCAATTAGGAACTAGTCCCTTTGCAGAGTTTACTTTTAGGGGCTAGAATTTAAACCATTATGAATTGAGACAGCCACTCTATGTAATGGGAGTTCTGGTGGCGTAGTGCCTAAGGCACTTGACTGCTAAACAGAAGGCTGGTGGTTCAAACCCACCAGCCACTCCTCAGAAGGAAGACTGGGTAATCTACTTCTGTAGAGATACCGCGTCGGAAACCCAAGGGGGAGTCATTGTGATTTGGATCCGACTCAATGGCAGTGAGTCACTAAACTGCTAGGATTGGAGTGGTGATTTTAAGAAGTTAATCTAGTGCAGCGTGCTATAACACATAAGGATAACTCTTTCTTTTGAGATATTTGGCAGGGTTTTTTAATGTGTGGGTCTTAGAGCCAGACTGCTTAGTTTGAGTCTGGCTTCTAGTAGTATGATACCAGGCAAGTTTCTTAAACTCTCAGTGCCTTAGTTTCCCAACCTACAATATCAGGATTAGAGCATTTTTTATTGGTGCTGAGTGGATTATATGATAATCTATGTGTATTACTTAGGGTTGTCTAAGGGGCAGGAGTGGTTTAGGGATAGAATTTTTTTTTTTTTTTTAATTGTGATTTGGGTGAAGGTTTACAGAGCAAATTTACTTTCCATACAGCGGTTCACATATACTTTGTCTCATGACATTGACCACAGTTTACCACAATGCAACAGCTCCCCTCCCACTTCTCCCCATAGTTACCTCTTCCTTGTGTCCATCCCTCCATGCACTCACTCCTGCCCCCTGAGCTGTCTCCCTGTGCATAAGCAGCCCTTCTTTCTCCCGTGATTGTTCTCTCCAAGGAGTGTATCTACTTGAGGTAAATGTTCAACTCATATGCCTGTATTTTGTTTGGCTGGAAACACAGGTGTGGGTTCAATTCCAGATCTGAAGGGCAGCTAGGGGCCATAGTCTCAGTGGTTCCACCAGGCTCTTATCGGACCAGCAAACCTGGTCCCCCTCCCTTTTTTTTTTCTCCAAATGATTTTGAGTTTTGTTCCACATTGTTCTCCCTTTCTATCAAGGATCTCCTATATAGATCCCCCTTTCAAGTGGATGACAGTGGTAGCTGGGCACCATCTAGTTCTTCTGGTCTCATAGTCGTATAGGCTACAGATCGGATGGTGTTATCAGTCGCTAGGACTAATTGTTTCCATGAATTTTGGTTTTCTTCATTCTTCTTTGCTGATGGCAGCTTGCTAACTTTTAAGATCCCAGTCGCTACTCACCAAAGGAGGAGGTAGAACAGTGTTTTGTATAGTATGTTATGCCAGTTGAGCTTGATGTCCTCTGTGACTATGGTCCCAAGCCTGCAGGTTCAACTACTCGGTCCCTCTGGGTCGCTGGCTGTGACCAAGCCATGACCACAACCTTGTCCCTTGTCAGCTCCACTATACACCT